CAAAACTATAAAAATTCGAACAAACCAATATAGGTATCAAATTTAAAGAATGCTACTAATCACAAACTGTGTCATACCCGCTCGAACCCCACGGTATCGACCGAATATTGTACACAGATGCCAGATTTCTACTTCTCCGAAGTTTTAACAGGTAATTCCGATAAGTTGAAAGCAAACTGGAGCAGCAACGGGGGAAAAGAGAAACGTCGAAAACACCGTACAGAACGTTGAATGGCAGATGTCACGTGAATAATGGATTAACCGACGAGCACTCCCCTTAATCCTGAGATTATCTAGTCTAATACCGCGGCGCTATCGGGGCTTGGTCGAGATTAAACCGACCTGACTGATCAACCATTTTTTTTTCTCCCTCCTTCCTTCATTTTTTCATACTCCTCCTTTTCTTCCCATTCGCATAAATCGAATATCGCATATCGATATCGATAACTTGCCCCGCAATCTGGGTTAAACGACGTTTGCTGTTTCGTTTAACTGAATATAAAGTATGTATCCCAACGTGCGCATTCAACGCGTCATTTGATAAATGGAACAACCTTATAAATGAAAGCGGAAATAACACTGAATTTAAATAGTGAAAGAAAAAAGAAAAAAATATGGAGGAGGAAGAAAAAGAAAGAAACTGTACATTCGAAATACTTTGGGACGGCGATCATTATTATGGCCGATGCACCGGAAACCGGAACTGATACCGAGCGTCATGACAGACGCGAGCAACCTGTTATTCCGTCTAATCTGTTACGAACGTTGGACGACTGTTATGACAGTTGTTTAGAGATTTCCCTTATATCGACTTCCAGATAATTTTGCATTCTTCTTTCTCGATTTTTCATTCATGAAATCTGCAAAAATAATATATTTTTATTTTTAATTCAGTTACTCGATTTGTTCTTGACGATTTATTTTCATTAATCTATGCCTGGGATATAAATCTAAATATTTATTTCAATTTAATCACTCGATTGTTTATTGTTAACGATTTATTTTAATCAATCTATGTTTCTGAAGTAAAGTATTTAAATAAATTAATTTGTAATCACCTTAAATTTTTATTTTGAATCTAGTCATACGATTTTTTTTTTCTTGATAATTTGTTTTAATTGATGTGTATTTATAAAGAAAAAATATTCAAGTAATTAAATTTATAATTAATAAAAATTTTTGTTTTTAACCTGGTCATTCGATTTTTCATTGATTTCTTATTTTTAACAATTTATTTTAATTAATCTATGTCTAGCAGAAATAATATTTAAGTTAATTAACTTGGGATTAATCTACATTTTTATTTCCAATTTAATTACTCCTTTCTTTTTGCTAGCGATTTATTTCAATCAATCTATGTTTCTGAAATAAAGTATTTAAATAAATTAATTTGGAATGAACCTAAATTTTTATTTTTAATTAATAATTCGATTTTTTGTTCTTGGCGCTCTGTTTTAGTTAATCTATGTCGATAAAGAAACAATATCGAAATAAATAAATTTCGAATGAATCTAGAACCGAAGAATATTTAAGACAATATTCTGTATTTAAAAGAAACAATTGTATATCGTTTCTTTTTTTATTTACTAAAAATTTTAATTTTTTTGATTTTCAGTACGGGCTTCTTTTCCATTTTATTATTAAGTATTCACGGTACATCTATGTCTAAGACTTAGCGAGCGTTTCAGCTCGATTTGACTGTAGGTGAAACCATACACGAGTCATGCACGAGGTCCACGCATACATGCAGAAAACAGAATGCCAAATGTTGCCGTTTATATTCGTGTAGGAGAGCAAGCAAGAACAGTGAGAAGCACTGAAATGTCGCAGATATGTTAGCCATGAATTACGCTATTACTTATTCGTCATCGCTAATGCCTGCTGGAAATTAATTCCCTCGAATCGTATAATCTGAAGCCAAAATCAACTGGTAGTATCGTCCATAGAGTACGTTTGTTTCTTTGATCTGATATTACCGTCAATTGTTACTGATAGAGCTAAAAAATTTCGTCAAAGTAGTATACTTACATCCGAATACCTGAAATCATATATAAAAATGAGAAAAATAAAAATTTAATCGATAATTAAATCGATAAAGTATTTCGAAATTAATTTGAAATTATTTTATCCAAGAATATAAAGAATAAATGTAATTATTTTGCATATAAATTATTAAACTATGAAATTATTTTATGTTAAAATACAGAGAGTGAATATAATTTAAAAAATGAATTTAATTGTTTCATATATAAATTTATGTAAAGGTTTATTAAATGTGAATAGAATTATTTTATGTAAAAATTTAACAAATTTTTAAATTATGTACATAAACTTGATTAAATAAGAATTAAATAACACTTACATTTACAATGATTGCCCTAAAGAAACCTTACTTTATAAATTTCCATTGATTACTTGTTTATCAAAAAAGAAAGTAATACAATAATTAATTCAAGTATATTTTCAAATTATGAAAACGTTACATAACATGTGCAATATAATTACACTTATAATAAGAATTTCCATGTTTATTTAGACAATACTATATACTAATTTTCATTTTTAGATCAAAATAATAATTTATTACCTTGTAAATAATTCATATTACACATTACATGTGTAGTGTATTTTATTTATTATAAAAATATGCAAAAATTTATAGCAATTGTTAGTCTCAATCTTTTATACTACAATAAGAAACTATGATCGATTAAAATTTCTCTTAATTATAATAAATTTGAATTAAATTTAAATTACAGTAAGATTCGTTTATAAACCTTATCTCAAATTTATGTAGACAGTTACATGTTATGCGAATACGCTATAGAACATAAATTATATAAAGATTTGCATTTATGTATTGTACAAGTGCTATACCTTTCACGCATAGCATAGTAATGCATAAAGTCTTGGCAAATGTGCAAAATTTTTGTGCGGATATTATCAGCACGATTGAGTGTGATCGAACGAATGCGAAGTTGGCATGTGACATGGCTGCAGACATACAATGAAAAGCGTTAAAACAATGATTAGAGAGCGTGGAAAGCGAGAGCAATGAAACACACCTGTACTCTTTCAATTTGTAAACATTACGATAAACCGCTTTCCTTTTTCTCTAAATACTCAAATATATTCGTAAATTGAAAGCAATTCTCCCATTTCCACACACACGCGAGTGAAAAGGACACTAGTAAACATTCATGGCATCAAGAACGTCGAAGCGAAGTTCCAACGAGAATGAGGAAATAAAAATTCGTTCGTAAACATCCAGTCATAGTTCTCCTTTCATCCCGTTACATTTCAATTTCCCAGGGAATTAAGAACTTCCTATTACCAGAGAATTCACAATCAATGTCAAGAAGTATGCCGCGCTTAACCTCTTTTCGGGAGACATCTTGTTCCTATCGTAGCGCGAATAAACATGCGAAGGGAATCGGCGCGCCTGCACGGGCACGCAGAGACGCGGAACCACCTAGCGTTGGAAAACAAAACCACGTTGCAAGAGACGAGTCGAAAAGGAGGCGATCGAGATCTCCGTAAGAGATCTTAATTCTTCTTCTTCCGGCCCCTGGCCCCCGATGTCGCGACCAGGCACTCCGCGTGGCGTGTTGCAGGTACACAGGTGCACGGGTATACGTGCATCTTATCTCTAGACACACCCCCGGACTGAAAGCGGTACAACCAAGGGGAGCGGGGTATATAGGAAAACTAGCTCCTGGACTAGAAGTGGGAGTCGAATTACAGCAAGCGAGACAGAGATAGAAGAGTAGGGATCAGAAGAGCAACAGAGACAGCCGAACGATAACCGAGAGCGCGTAGAAAGACGAAGGCGGATACAACTGTTGCGAGGTGAAAGGGGTGAAATAAGACGAGGCTGGAGAAAGTGGAAGCGACACAGGAAGGAAACGAGGAGAGTCGAGGAACCGGCAGACTTTGAGGGAAAACGGCGTAAAGAAGAAAAGAGAGAGACGGAAAGAGCAGATAAAAGGACGAGGGATAAGAAGGGAGAATATCGTGCGGATGAGTAAGGGAGAAGGATAGAGGTCGCTGGCGAGAAGAGGAAAAAATGGACGAGTGGAAGGAAGATGGAAAGTGGGGGAAGAGAGAAGCGGAGAGACTGCACGGATGACGAAGGTAGTTCCGGAGGGTTTGAGGGTGAACCATCCGAGTGAGGACCAGGATGGTCCTCCACGGTGGGCGATGGTAGCCGGCGAGGTGGTGGGGTGACAGCGACGGCGGGTAGGGCGTCGTAGGGGCAGAACCAGCGCCGCGACGCTTCGGCACGCACAGTCGCGGCTCGAACGCCGTCCCATGCGAACGTGTTATTCTCGCGGCTCGTGTATCATTTTTTTTCAGCCATCGTGTACGATGTTCACGACCTGTTCGCACTTAGATCGGGATTTCGGGAGGACATGATCGGAGCAGATATAACGAAAAGCTTTCGATTGCCGCTCCACCTCGAGGATGGATTTTCATTCAAGATCGACCGAGACGTCGAGTTTTCGAAAACACATGACCGAGAGCAGTGTTCATTAAACGATGTCGTATGATTTAATAACCGAGTGAGATCGTTTTAAGATTGAATCTGTTATCGTTCTGGAGTGATTTTGACGATGACATTGAAACTTTCGATGCTCGACGAGAGTTAATCAATCGAAACGATCGGTTTCCAACTAGAACGTCACGCCGTTTACCGATCGGGCAACGATCTGAATTTAGTGACACTTTTATCGACCCGCTTAGAACACACGGTTCGATGTATTTCGAACTTTTCTAACAGACTCGTATACCGTTCGAGTGTCTAGCAGAGAATTTTCTACCAGTGCAAATATTACTTATCGACATGGTGTTTCTATCGGGACGTATACAGTGAACTATACTGGCTCGCGAGAATTAAAAGGGCAAGAAAATTACTGTACGAGTAAGAACAAGTTGAGATTTAATATTTCACCTGTTTGATGTACCTAGTGCGAAGTCTCGGTCCATACTGATGCAGATTTCGTCGAGTTTCGAGGCACTGTCGGCATCGTTCCGCAAACACGTGTGTGCAAAACCATTCTTTGCAATCTAGTCACAAGTGCGCGCAGTCGACTCGATATTGATCCGGTGATCTAATCGATTTTACCATTCCACGATATTAATATAATACGTTCTTAATGACCAATAACGTGGCGATAAAAAACGTCTGCCATAAGGACATAATTGAACATAGTTCAATAATTAAATTTAAACCAAAGTGTATAACCTTCACTATAGTGTGTTACACGTATTAAAAATCGGCGGTAGAGACTAGTAATAAATGATACCAATCGAGGCTTGGTTGTGACGCGAAATATTTCGAGAGATTTCAAGCTTGGTTAAATATCGGCAAATAAACTGGGAATAGACGGTAATCAGTGAGAATTGCATCGATGCAATAAATGTCAGTGCGAAATTAAAAATGGCGGCGACTTCCGAGTCCCAGGATAATTATTGAGGAACTCTTTACGAGGGAATGGATTTTCAGAGCGCTATGGACACGTTTGTAGAGGCATGGATGGCTGCAAATACGAAAACGGATCAAGTACAGGTAAATCGTAAAATTATCATTGATAATTCAAAGCCACTTCGGATATGTTCTGTTATTCGTATTGAAGAAATGTAACACCATCCTGACATTGGTATCCGTGAATGACATCGTTGAAAAGTAACCCCTTCTAACATTACACAGCCAATTGGCCACCCTACCAATTTCTGCCCTCTTGGGCACTTCAACTTGCCACCAAGCTAATTCCCCGATATCAATTTGCCACTTTCCGTTACATCTTAGAATAGCCGATTTACTTGGATCACACGAAGTATACTTAAGATTTCAGAGTAAGTAATACGAATTTTTATATCCTAATCAAAAATTCTTTCATGCATAGTTAATTTTACTTTTATATGTCTACTATTATCGTGGTTGTAGAGCAAAAATTAAAAATAATATTGCAACATATTATAAGGCAGTAGTTATATATTGGAAATTATAGCTATTAAAATATAGTTTAATGAAAAATATAAATATACAAATTTATTTTTTCTGTTACTTCCACTAGTTTAAACAATATAATAATTTAACACTCTAATTACACGGAAACTACTACAGTTGATGAAATAATAATTCGTATTAAATCAGTTGAAGGTTACAACCCTAACCTCACTACCAATCATTGATACCAAAGAAAAAAGAGATAAATACAAATTTGTAAAAACGTCTAGAGAAATTGAAAAATGTATTTAGGGAGGATTCGTTAACCAAGTATATAGCATTTACCGTAGGAATCTTTTAAACAGAAGAAGTCAAGGTAGACAGTGAAAAGTGTAAAGTATATAGATTCGGTGGTCTAAAATTTCAGAACGGCAACCGGAGCGGTGCTAAAGGTGGTAGAGGTAGTAGAGAGGGTTGGGAGAGATAATCCTTGGTAAAACCACGGATCGTATGTGTTGCGTGGATGGGCATACGTACGTTTACACGTGTACGTACGGGGGGTCACGGGTTCTGACCACGATACGGATGTGCCCCTGCCTTCTTCCTGTGCTACGACCACGTTCACGTACTGGCATTCAGTGCAATAAGACCGCATCTCCATTGACCAGTCGATCTCTTGATCATCGGAAACTTCTGATTTTCGTTTCTGACCTATATATCCACTAGCTTTTGTGACCCTGCTGTACAGACTCCACTGTCTTGGGAGTCGGCGTCATTTGTGTCATGCATTGTTCTCTGTCAATGGATATTAAGAATACTGAAGCTTATTTTTCATTCGACAACGTGCACCACTGTTTCATACCATAACGACAGCACCATAAAGAGTCAGTCGGTAGCCAAAGATACCGAAAGTCAGTGTACAGGTCACATGTTTCCTAGCTATCATTCATAAAACGTGTTCTCGACGTGCATCTGACTTTACTCCGTAAGGTAAGATTAAATATAACAGGAAACAGAGACAGCTGGAAAAATATTCCTTGGGTTTCCTCTCAGTTTCTGTGTACATTTGCACGTTGAGAAATAACGTGTAAAGTTTGTCGTGTGACATCGTGGAGTGAGAGGGATGGCAAAATCGAAGATAATCTTATGATACAGTCAGTTCGGTTCGTCGAGGAACCGTGAGATTTTCTCCCTTAGGATCATCGTACCCCGTCAAAATTAGGAATAACACAATCCGCATTTTTCCTTGACAAATACAAGAACAATATTCCTGTGGGGATACGTTGGCATTATATGGGGTTTGTTGAACATCCAAATCGGCCCTTCCCTTCCTACGATTCTCTGACGGTGTAACAGGCATTTGGCTTCCGCTGTTAAAAATTGAGGGGAAAATTCAGGGGAAGCAACTCGCATATAGCACCGACAGGTTAGTTTCGTATACAAATAAATTTCAATATTTTTTCTCTTCACTGGTCACAATTAAAGTAGAAACAAGTAAATGTTAGCGTTCAACGTGTAGATCTCACGTAGGTATCTGAAACATAAATTATCACGCCATTACATTAGACTTTACATGTAGAAACGTTGCAAAGGTTTAAATATAATTTTAGATACATTAGAAAATGCACAAACTTCATACTTCGTGGGACTTACTCACGATGAAACGATGGGAAGATAAATGATTAAAAATAACTTCTGCTGTTATAAAGTATAATGAACAATACGTTTTATGCATTAGGAACTTTAAGGAAAGGATTATTAAACTCTAATAATAAAAATTTGGATCAATTTCGAGAAAATATGATCAATTTCCATTGCTACTTAGCTATGCTGCAATAAATAAAATTTAGAACAAGAAACGATTCATCGTTTTGCTAATCGAAGAAATGATAAAACTACTTGCAAACAAAGACTTCGAATAGTACAAGTAACATAGATATTGTATGTTTGAAATAAAATGTTTTGGAAACATGTAACGTGACATTGATCCCTGCACGTTTTCTAGTTAAAGCGGTAACCGAACGAGTTGGCAGACCTCAAGATAACACAAATACATATTTGGTGTTCCAAAATTCCGCCGGCAGAAAGCACATTCCGATAGCTGAAGACGCGTCCTTGCCGCATTGCGCGCAGGAGTATACCGCGTACGTACACCGAGGCCACGTGTGCACTCGAAAGTGCGTACATGTACGTCCGAGGATAGGTTTGAGGCACGCATGGTCACGGTATTTGACCACCCCAGCTACCGGAATGATTGTAATCCATCTATCCGGCCGCCGAAGCCGATACATCAAATGCACGTAGAACTTTTCACGTCCCTTTTCCTGACAGTTTCTTACCCCTATCCTCTCTTCGGTTATCTCTGCATCGAACACGACGTGAATATGTTATTAATATTTATACCAATGTTGATATTTAGCCTTACATCGTGCGTCGCTTGTCTACGTGAATGTAACGCTGTTGATTTATTTCTCTGAAAAATGTTTGCCACGTTCCTTCACCAATACCAGGATCAGCTAAAAATTAACGGAACATTAGATCATAAGAACAATTATAGGCGAACAAAATTTTACACGACATTATAGGTTATGATACCTGTTATAGGTTAATACTACAGAATACATAACTTACTATTTCTCTTCATCAGGAGACGTTTATTAGATGATTTTGCATAAAAATGACGATTTCTTTTGTAGGTTATGTTGGTTTACACCATATCATTGGTAATAAGACGAATGATTTGAAAAAATTGATCATATAGTATACTTCAAATGCTATAATTCTTTATTCCTATAATTCAAAAGTGTCGAATCGTATTAAAGGTTAATAAGAGTTACAAATCCGAAGAGGATATTAAAATAGTAGCGGATATTTGAACATAAAGTTCGAATACATATAATTATGAAATACTCACGCCATGCGTTGTGATTATATCAATTTTGCTCGCTGTATGATTGAAATACTCTTATATACTCTTCCTGTTTCACGTAGTCTTTTTTTTTTAGAAATGACTAGAAGGCAGTGAACATCTGGTAGCAGAATGAGCAATTTACGTAACGTAGTCGTGGAAGCATCAATCCGTGGATTATCTACCGCGGGGAGAGGGCCAATTATTGTACGTGGATATCGGCCATCTGATATTTCGATAAGCCTGATTAGAATGTTGCACGATTAACGTAAACCATGAAGACATTTAATTCCATTCTATCGATATTGGATAAAAACAGATATTACATTGGCCGATGTTATTCAATCACTGATCCCTTGTCTCGGTGGCGGGTGGGGGGAGGAAGATTTCGAAGTATTTTACCAAATTGCGTATGGTCGATATGCGCTACCTGTAAATTAAAGTCCAAGATGAAATTTAATCATTGATTTGGAGCTTATGCCTGTTACAGAATATTTAAAACGTAGAAAACCAGTTTATATCGAGTCGTCGACTTATAAACTGGTTCTTTCGTTAATAAACACTGAGACATTACATTGATAAAAGGAACCGAAACATACCATTCGGGGATTGAATTAAATGTTTCGTGAATTGAGTGTTCTAAGTGCATGGAGTCCGTGTAAACTGAAAACAGGATGGTTAGAATTAATTAGTTAATAATCAAAATTATACCGTTTAATTTGAATGTAATTTGATTTTAGTTTATGCTTTTCAATTTTTTGTTCCAATTCCATTGTTCGTTAATTGCATTTCGAAGAATGTCGTTGTTTTGAGTAAACTATATCGTATCTAGTGTTGATTTGACATAAGTGCAATTTAATGTAATGTCTTAATGTCTTACCCATTCTTGCATAATAACTTTTAGTTGAAGCAGTGTTACGAACATATAAGTTACACTCTTACATAATAATTAACCTATTAATAATATTAGCCAATTGACAAGTTATAAGTTATAGGTTATAAACTTCTATTGCACAGTTTACGAACACGTGAAATAACTGACTAATAGTTCGTAAAATTTACTTGCAGAATTCTACTTTACTCACCGTCATAATTGTTACATTTACACGACAGGATTTATTAATATTAATAACCTATAAACTATTACCAATAACTGCAACAGGTAATTGCATTTGCAACAGAACACAGATTCAAAAACAACAAATTATTTTGCACACAGAAGTTTGTTAGTTTACGTTTAATTTTTTCAACGTAAACTTTATAAGCAACAATAAAGTAAACAGTGACGAACGTTCCTGCCCCATGCCTTGTCAGTGCACATTGTGAGGATTAGTAATAATTGCGAGATCTATCAACAGGTGCCACTAGTTCTCGTCGGTAAAAAGAAACGAACGAGATTGTGCAGATGGCAGTTCTACTAAAACTATCGAGCCCAGTTGGTAGGATGGAAGGTGAGATTGGAAAAAATAATAACTAGAATTGACTAAACTACCCTGTAATTTACACGTTTTGAACACGCTGGAAGGCTACGAATAAGAAGATTCGACGCGAAAGTGTCCGCGAAAATTTTGATAGGAAGATGTACCAATTTAAAAGGTTATTGAAGCTGACATAAGGAATACTCCGAACTGGACCTACATTCAATTGCCAAACATTGTAGGCCGGTCGTCATTTGTAGCTTGAACTTACGTAAGCTCGTGAGGAAGATGAGACAGAAATCCAGTCTGAAATAAATTCACGGAATTTCTGGGACCTTTGGTCGTCAGAGGACCAAGCAGAGAATTTTACATTGGTCGGCGATTAAGGTTATCGTCTTAACGGGAAACACTCTAGCAGGAAACGTCGTCAACGCGTATCTCTGTTACACCCGGTAGATAAGCTGATCCGCCGATAAACGATGTCGAACCGTTGTTTGCTATGCTGGTATTAATTCGCGATGATGTTGCATTTTGCATATAACAAACGAATTTACTTTTCTGTTATTCCTTAACCTCTCTTCGCCACAATATCAATGTCACTCTTCCGGAACAAGTCAACAATCTGAAATTTGCTCAAAATTTGCTCGATTTAATTTACGCATAAAGCTATTTGGAAATTTCAAATTCACGACAACGCGTTTCGATTGTACGAAAATATGTGTTTGAATACACGCGAGAAGGAAGACGAAGGCGGCAAATTTAAATAAGTATTTAATTATAAAATTGAAATTCTCGATGTGTAGACTTAACCTCAAATTTTCACGTATACGAGTGACTATATTTAGGTGCAACTAATTCCAGCAAATTTGTTATCGAAACGACGTTTGAATTTATACATTTTGTATGAAACGTAAAAAGGAAAAAAAAATATTCGAGATGTGACAAAATTAGGTCATTGGATATGCAATAGGATAAGAAGGAACGAGGTAGATAAAAGTTCGATTTATGTCGGTTCGGAAATTGTACGGATACACGAAGGAACACGAACGATACACCTTTTGCACGGTGAATGGTGCATCCCCTTTCGCGTCACGTCGAAGTTACCGCGATATCACTTGGGGCGTTAGCCGGATAAGCCGCTAACCCCATCCACCTGTTGCCTTTTCTTATGCGTTCCCGCTTACAGGCCCGCGTTCATCCTCATTCCTCGCGTGGAAACGAGCCAAGGAGCCGTCGTCCTCTTCCAATCCACGCTCACCTCCGGACTTTGCCTTCCTCCCTCGTCCACTACTTTATACACCGGTGTCAGGCCTGTGCTCCTTTCCTCTCTTCACCACTTCTACGGTGTCCTCGTCAGCCTCTCTTCTTCTACGTCTTCCTTCTCCTCCTCCCCCAACGCCGGCACCGTCTGATTCTTTCGCTCCTCCGTCTCTCTCGCTCCGACTCGCCACCGCCTCCCTCTCTCTCGCTCTTCCTTTCCACACCTCGTACCCTCTCGTTCTAGCGCCCAAGCCCGGGTCTTCAGCGGTCTGACGTGTTTTTTGCGAGTGCATACCTCGAAGCAGCTCCCGAAACAGTAGCTGGTACCCCGGTACAGTCCGGACCAGTGAAAAAATCAGCGACCTGAACTCGGTCCTCTCGGTTTCCTATCGACGGATCGACCGCGATCGTCGAATATTTCTTCACTGATTTTTCTTGCGATCGATTATTGCGTCGAGACGACGGGGCTCCATCGGAACGTTCTATAGCACGTTACTGCGTTCGGTTAGCCGTTTTCGACTGTGTGGTCGCATACGTGTAAACGGTGTGCAACGATATTTTGTAGGTTAGAGATACGCCGAGTATTTACACGGTGTATAGCGGGACTAGGCTGTTGCGTTGATTTATGTAATAAATAAACGTGGAAAAGAGGAGAAGCAAGGATTGATATAATTCGTTATTAGAAGTGGAGGAAAGTTTTGATTTACGAAATATGTGGAAAAATTTATCGGTTTGAAGTATATGTGGAATTTAAGTGGATAGGCTTGCTCGGAAGCACGTAAAATCGTGTTAGGAGTTATATACAAGATTAAAAGCTACTGAATCGAATCTTTATCTCAGATTTTCGTATAGCCTAACTAATCTAATCTGAAATTGAATCTATTAATTTAAAGAAAACTAAAATCTGTTCGTAATAGCACTTCCCAAATAAATCTATCGTAATAGTTAATCGAGACAATCGATAAGGTGTATCGTCTGAAGGTATCTTGAATTTCGAAGGATATACTAGCATGTACTTGACTATCACAATTGTTTACACGGTCGGTAAATATTACGAATTGATTAAATACTTTTTTCTTCTTTTATAACAACTAATAGAGTTTTATTGTTAATATTTTATTTTGATAGTCAAAACAAATATAGCATCCAATACAAATTTTTAAAATTAAAATATTTTATTTTACATAAATTTGTTAACCTAAAAGATCATATTATGAGAAAGTAATATCGAGTCATATTTTTGACACATTTCTTCCTTTTATATATTTTTGTCGTATACAAATGTATTAAAATAGTAACATCGCTAATTTACATAACCTTAAAACACAATGTTGTGTATATAATAAACATTGTACTAATTAATTGTATTCATAATTCTCACACGAATCTATAATATGGTAATGAAATGAAATAAAAATAATAGTAAATACCAAATTCAAAATTCATATACTAAGTTTGCATTTTTAATTCCAAATATTTGTATACATTTTGTGAGCGCTGCAAATTTACAATACTAATCTATTCACTATAAGATCCACAGTAGATAAAATAACAAACAATAATTGAATCAAAAATGTAAGAGTACTAAAAAATCAAATATTATTTAATATAATATCAATAAGAAAGTTATGTTATTTACAAAAATATACTTATTATATAAAAATATAATTATTTGTAAAGATATAAATTATTTATAAAAATATTTTGTTATTTATATCACGTAGGAGAAGTGACCAAGGCGTTGGACTAAAAATACAGCCGAGATAATAAGGATAGAGCACAAAGGAGTTAAACGATTTCTCGGTCGATTTGGTCATGCAGTTCCACGGAAGCGTCATCGACGATCCAGTTTTCAGACAACGAAAACCGCCGCCGCGGTGCATTTCGCACTTCGGCCGTAGTGTAGGATTGTCGCATTCTGGGCCCACTTGACCCTCGTTGACATCGTGAACGGCTTAGCCGTTAGTGTTAAGTTCAGTTCACTCATACATAAATCTAAGTCCGCGCTTATGCCTTAGCAGGCCGTTGTCGGAATTGAGCACGTGTTCAGATTTCATCGACGACAACGCTTAGATCATCCGGCTCATTCGATACGACCGAATCGTCGCGGATTCGACTACGGAGTGTCGTCTCATCGCGGTTAATGACGAAATTATTACGTTGCTCTCCTTACGTCTATTATTAAACCCGCACAATTAATACAGGCCTTTCTCCACGTTTACTTTATCCTGCCTTTGCACGTATGCTGAGAATCGTTGGCGATGATTTGAACTTGTCAATTCATTGACGAGGAGGTTATGTCTTTTACCGCCGAGCTCGAGACGAACGTGTACAGTTAAAGGTTACGTGTGCTCTGTGCGCGATAAAAGGTATTGAATTTAACAGTTATTACATGGTTCTGTAGTTTTGGAAAATTTGTTACTCGTGTTGGTAGATTTACGTATGAATACGTCGATGTTGTGAATCTTTATGTAACAGTATGGAAAGTATGGAAATGTTTATATGAATAGGAAATTATCATTTGACGTACGCATGTTCCGTGCTAGAAAGGTATTAATAGATATGTTAATAAATAGAAAATTGGTATATACATACGTGTAATATGTCAATATATCAAAAAATGGAAAATAATATGGTAATCAGTAAATTCAGAAAAATATGGGGAATTTGTACGTAAGAAGTAGTGTATAAATCGTAGTCCGTATCATAATAATAGCAATTTATGTAGGTATACAAAGTTAACCTCCAAAGACAAGACGTGTAAGTGATTGCTCGTGCAAATTATGCAAAACTTTAAATTATCATGGGTTCAGTTTATTCATCATGCAATTGCGAAAGAAATAATAACGAATCTCCTTATATGTGACATTGTTAAAGAAGATGATAATTAATAGGTTCATTAGTAATTACAGATTGATCATTAATATGGTAATAGGTTTACCATTAATATTTCAATTGATAATTTATCAACACTTGCATTTTTTATTATAATTTTATATTACATATTAATATAATTTATAGTATGTTCGTTTAACAATTTTTTAAATATCTAGTCACCAAAATTATTTCAATTAAATGGTTTCTTAACAAATTGGATAAACAAAGATCCAGTTCAGTTTATTGACATTAATATTAGAGTGTATATATGAGTACTATACTAATTTTTTCAAAATTAGATCAGAGATGTTGACAGTGTTGTAATCGTTAATAAATAATTAATTAGGAAGTTCATTGATCATTAATACAATAATAGGTTAACCATTAACATTTCAATTGATAATTTATCAACACTTACACTGTTTATTTTAACATTATATTACATATTTATATAATTTATAGTATATTCATCCAACAATTTTCCCAATATCTAGTTATCAAACTTATTTCAATGAAATTTTTCCTAAAATTTGACAAACAAAGATTGTACAGTCCATTGACCTAAATATGAGAATGTATCATACATACATTATACTAATTTCTTAAAATTAGACAAGAGATGTTAACAGCGTTGCATGGTTAATAAATAATTAATTAGGAAGTCGGACGTTTTTGGTTGCAGAGCCAAGCTTTGGCATTGACACACAAGGCCTCTCCACCTTCGAGGCCGAGTAGTGTGTCCTCGTTACCCAGGAGTCCCCAGTCTCACCAATCCCAACAGTCTCAGCCGCAGAACACTACTCAGCTTCCGCCGGTGCATCCTCATCAATCGCAGACACCCCTAAGCGCGCCCCAGACACCGTTTTCTGCGCACAATCAACACCCCAAGCAAGAAGCAAATACAAGCCCCAAACAGGAGGGATTCGATCTCAGCAAATCTACCTCCAGCACGGGTGAGTTTCTTTTCTTTATTCTTTCTGTTTTTCCCATCTTTCGATCTATTAAATGTATCGAAGCTTCCGAGGTATCGAATCCTAGGTTGAATGAATCTTCGAGGAACGATTTCGTTGTGATTTTTGTCGAGGAAATGGAAACGAAAAGAAGGAAATGGAACAAGAAATTTAGATTGTATCATGAACATTATTTATTTACATGTGAGTATTTGTTTATTCATCTTATTTTCTGCTGTATATTATTATTTATTTATTGCTGTGAGATAGAGTCCACTGTAAGAGTTTTTGATTATTTTTAGTAAATTATAATGACAAATTTTAGTTATAGTTAGCGGTTGTTAGAAATATTGACTAATAGTGATTCTTATTTTATATTAGGTTTTCGTACGTGAAAAATATTCCACAGAGATGAGTTTTGAAGTTATGTACGTTATTTATTTTGAATGGAAGATGGTTATGAAGGATTTTTCGTTACGCCAAGTTTCTTTTTTCATTTTCTTCTTTTTTATCTGTATTTCCACGATGGTGTTACAAACCCTTTATTGAGCCATCCGTGTGTTAATGGTCTGACGTCTTTGACTTCCAATGAATGGGATCACCTTCATGGTAATGGGTCGAATGGAAACAACAACCATAATGCGTTTGCATTATGAACCTTGGTCAGGATTATCAGTGTCAATGAGGCTACCAAATTAGTCAATTATAGGACACAATGAGATATTTCCTTCACAATAATTGCAATACTTACTTAGAAATTATTTATCTGGTCAAATAATACTGATTTAAAAGGGTGTTTATTTGGAAATTAATTATAAGATTACAGAAGTTTCAGTTTAAGAATAATTATTGTAGGCTTCAGACTAAAAAGAAGTTATGAAGTATTTGAGTCATACCTAATTATTTTACAGTGTTAACTCAGTAGGTACAGTGATTTAATCCTCAGTAGCTGCAATTATCTCTCATTGTGATAGAAAGATTTAAGAGTAATTAGAATTTCTTGCTTTGCTCTCAGAAATAAAGGGTGTTCCAAAATACACGCAAGATTTGAATTTTGCCCCATTTGTATGGTAAAGCGTTGTCAACGAAAAGGGAAAAACAGCGTGACAGTTGACAATTCAGGGTTATTAAAAATGAAGTGCTATACAAAGGAACGCGCTCTTCATTGTTGAGCAATATTTTAAAGATAACGAAGGTTTATTTATTTTCTATTAAAATTGCTTCTTGCATAAACTTTGGGACATTTATAAACCAGTGATTAGTATAAAATATAATAATACAGGAGCAAGTTAATAAATTGAAAATATAGATTTAGAAAATATAAATAAATAGTTATAGGGTTGATATGCATAATATATATTATTTAACACTACTTAATACATAATATAATCTATAAATATTAAATACAAATTAAAATTGAACAAATTTCTGCTAATAATAAATTACCAATGAGTGTTTAAAGACTCTCACACATAACAATAAGTAAAAAATTTTCATTGTATATACAGGGATATATAAATAAGCCGTTTATTTTGAAAGTGGCATAAGTCCATTTTCAAAAAAATCGAGTCAGCTACCTTAATAGCTACATTTTTACATGATCTTTTCATTCTGAAACAACTTGTCACTAACATATTTAAAATCATGAAGATTTTGTAACACGAAAATTTGCTGGTTAATGAAGCGATGAAAAGGTTTATTTTGAAAATGGCGTAAGTCCCATTGTGGGAGTTTTAAATGGATATGGAAAATATTATGCAATAAAATTTTATGAGATCCCAGCTTTACGTTTAATTATCAAAGTAACAGTTGAATTATCAATGTGCAATGAATTTATTTTAAACAACAGAACAGTGCCTATCCACAGAAAGAAGCGCATTGTTCTCGCGCAGTCTGCGTTGAAAACCAGACTGATGAACAGTGTTGTCTCACTTGCTGAGTATTTTGACTTGTTTCCACAGTTTTCTTAAATTCGGGTTGCTTAATTCGTGCTTCACTTGTAATATTACAAATTTCAACCGAAAAACTTTAATAATATCAAGTTGGCACAAACCTAACCTAACAAACCTAAAATATAAGGATTTAATGGATTTATTACATTATATACCACCTGCACAGCACAGTTATTTTAAATCCCTCTTGCATACATAAACTGGAGAAGTTTGAATAATAATTAATAAAGCAATATTAATTTTAAAGTAAAAATTATTTAACAAAGAATAAAAGTTGAATATTTTTTTGATTTTATAACATAAAGGTGTATACACATTTATTTTTATTTCAAGGGAAATTTACGTTTCCTATGGACCTGTGCTTTTTTGAGAATTGAAAACGTCATTTCATTGATTTTGAAAGTGTCATAAGTCCATTCATAGCCTTCAAAAACATATTATTTCTTAAATAATGTTAATTATGCTAATTGGGATAATAAATTTGGCACCCTTAGAAACACAAAAATATTATTCTACTATGTTATCTGTTATCGATATTTTTAAATTTAATGCAACGCAAACCCGTCGATATCTCGATTCGAACATAAATGGACTTAGGCCACTTTCAAAATAAATGGCTCAATTATATTTCTACCCCAATAGGGGCCTAAAATTCTGAAAGCAGTTACGTTTCCTAGTCTAGTAATTTTAATGCAAACAAATCCAATAAAATTAGAAATAAAATAAGTTTAATACAATAACAAACCTTGCATTAGGTTCTCACGCGATTATACTACTTCTGAAATCGACTAAACCTGTCTACCGCAACTGTTTAACGCGATATTAAATTATTCAATTCGTAACGACCGTGTCACTTCCAATTCTGATAGCCCAACGTGTATTTATACCGGTTGCGTGTCCCTCCGGTTCAGACTAATGGCTCCTGTAATCACTGAATTATTTCTGTATCTTTGCTAACAATGAGAATAATCTGGTAGCAGTGTTCGAAGAACAGAGGAACCGTTAACGATCATGAGGCACAAGTTAAAGAAGTTGGATCCCGTGTCCGTGGAGCAAGTTTCCATCGGGAATGACGAAGAGCTCGTGTGCGTAGACGATGGAGGTCGCACGGAGGGGTCGTTAAAGCTCGTAAACGAGATAGACCATCGGCGGAATTTCCTTGATCCTCGATAATGCAGTGGAAACAATTTGCACGCGTCCGTTTGCCGGAGCGAACGAAAACCAGAGCCCCCTCGTGACATCGAGACGTATCGATCTCCTTTGACGGGAGTTACGACTGTGACATGTCTTAGGCAGCGGTCTAGGTGTGAAATTTATTTATCTGTTAGAGTCTGAACAAATTTATCACTTTTATGCAAACTGCTTCATCTATTAGAAGACAATACGACAAGACAAGACATTCCTGTGACTATAGTTGTTTAGGAACTTTGGGGTGAGAGTGGATCTTATGATCTTCTATCATGAAAATTGGCCTAAGTAGAATATTTAACATTTATTTATTGGACCTAGTGAAGAAAGTAGTCTTCTTGGGTAAATTAACTTATTTACTGATTTTGTTTGTATCTTTTTGATAATTATGTATGAAATTCACTTATTGAACCAAAATAATTTATAGAAAAATATGAATTATAGTATTGAAATTATTGTATTATGTTTATTTATTGGATCCAGTATAGAATGTACTCTTCTTTGGTAAATTAACTTATTTACTGATTTTGTCTGTATTTTTTGATAATTATGTATGAAATCCAGTCAAAACAATTTATAGGAAAATGTGAATTATGATATTGAAATTATTGTATTATGTTTATTTATTGGACCCAGCGAAAAATGTACTCTATTTAGGTAAATTAGTTTATTTATTGATTTTGTTTGTATCTTTTTGATAATTATGTATGAAATCTAGTCATTGAACCAAAATAATTTATAAAAGATATGAATTATAATATTGAAATAATTGTATTATTGAGAAATATAATCCTAAATTTAAATAATCCTAAGTTTAAGATAATATATAAGTTAATTTTTTTAATGAAAAATTAATTCAACAATAATATCTATCAGGAAATGTTAATTAATATTTCAAACTATTGAGACATCATGTTCTTCATAATTATATCAGAATAAGGTTCTTTTTGACAAGAGTTAGGGTACTTGTAATTATTATAATTTTGATGGTTAAGGCATTTGCTTTAGGCAATCTTCACGTAGAGTTAGATTTTTCATTATAGTTTAAAAACTTTTTTATTTTTATCTGAATTGTTTACTGATTTCCTTTATTATAAGACAATAAGACATTCCTGTGACTAGTCTTTTAGAAAGTTTGGATTAAAAATATACAATATGTATTGTTCTTCTCCTGTGATAGTAAGGAAAAATAAAATATTCTTAGAATCTAAACTTATTTTATTTACTGATTTATATTGTCTCTATGCTAACAAGACATTACTATAATTAATCTTTAGAAAGTTTGAATATTGTATTTCAAAAAATTCCTCCTATCTGCATAAATCAGTTCATTTAAATTACCACTCACATTAGGCTATTTTAAAAATTTATAGTATTCTTTACTGTATTGTATATTTAGAGAAATAGAGAAGTATTATTTATTACAAACTTCTAACAAATAAAAAAATATACAATTCCTTACAATATTATTTTTAATTACACATACACAAACACAGTAACTAAAGAAAAAATTACAAGATATGAACCCAATCTAGAGATACTACTGCTCAATCTGCATAAAATTTTTAAAAAAGAACAAACAAAAGTTTCTTCTTAAAAAATAATTTCGTGCTTTAAAAATTTCCAAAAGCAACTGAACAGAATCCATCTCCCAAAAAATCGACCATTCTTACAAAGAAAGAGAATAATTTCAAAGCTAATAAACTAAATAGTCGAACACACATTTGCCAAATCGACGAGTTGCACTAAAAAAAAATCAGAAATTTCAAATACAAACAGCTAAATATAAAAATTCGAAAAAATCCAAAAAATGGAATTATAAATTTTCCAGGCTCAAATAATAATTATTATTCTCTTTTTCTC